GTTGTAGATTATGGGTGTAGTGTCTCAGTATCAATCTCAATACAATACGTGCATTCACTCTTTTTGGACTTCTTCTAGATCTTGGATTATAAAATTATATGATACTTTTCTATTGCACAAATTAATCCCTTCTCGAATCAGATTGTATATACCCAATCTTTCTACGAATATGAGAATTGTGTCGATAACCTTATATTGCTGTGCTGGTCTAGTGTGATATTGTGAACCAGTGTACAAAGGTGCTAGGTTCTACGTTGTTTATGACCGATAGGGTTGATGATACTGAAGCATTTGCTAAACACTAGATATATAATTCAAATAAGAAAAAATCCTAAAATCATTCACTATTTTTGATGAACTAGTTTCCTCAAAACATTGACAACAGAATAAACATGTTGATGATTTCCTTATTTAGTTTAGTTTATTCTGTTCTATTCATCATACCGTACAATGAAACATTCCCATTTATTCATATCTCAGTAAATCGCAAATTATCACGCAGACCAAGTACATCGAGGCAATTAAAAAGTAATACTGGTAAAAAACAAAAGGAAAAGAAAAACAAAACAAAACGAGGTACAGAAAATCGAAAAATCAGTATATCACCAGAAGTAAGCTTATAATAATAATAATAATAATAATAATAATAATAATAATAATAATAATAATAATAATAATAATAATAATAATAATAATAATAATAATAATAGCCCTATCCAGTAAGATAAATTTGTCGGGGTGATCTACAGTATTCCTCGAAAACGCCCAGAGTAGTCATGAAAGCGCTGGAAAACATTCTATATCAGAAACTTCTAGAAAGTGGAGAGTCACGTGTCACATATCTGATTGGATGAAAACTTGTCCTGCCACCATGTTAAGTAGGTTTAAAGAACATTCCAGAAGCCCAAGGCCATCTGAAACGCTATAAATATCCTCGACTTTCTGTATATAGACCAACCTTGGAGCAAAGCGTTCTTTCCACATATCGCGCCTTTTCTCTCGTGTTTAATTAGTCGTGTAGATTAACATGGGGTTACTAAAGGAGGTTAGGAAACCGATTAAAGCGTTGAGTCAAACGTTGTATCAAAATTTTGTCACAGTAAACAGATCTCAGCACTAATTACTGAATGTTACAACAAATATATCTATACTATGAATTGAAATTGTAATTATTCGAAATATATTTAGCTTTTTCAATTGTCAGTATCTGATATCTGTACTTATTCATCAGACTTTTCTACCCGTACAACTATTATAACTAATTTTTCCCATCCATTATTGCTTGAAATACAAAATATTTTTGTCTCTCGTTTTGTCATATAGTCAATAAAATGGGTACCACTCCAAGAACTGTTCTGTTTGTGTTCGAATTTTCCAGTATTTGATTTAGTAATAATAATTTGTAACCCTGTTATGTGAGTTTGTAGCGGCTGGTACTATGTCAGGCCCAAATAGGTTATTTTAGCTCCTGTATAGACCAATTTATTCATTCTCCTCAAGCCACATTTTGAAGTTGATGCTATTTTGCTTATTAACCTTGACTGTTTTTTTTAATATGATTCTGTTTGTTAATTGCTTGCTCCATTCATGGCGTGTCTGTAGTTTAGTTTTGTATGACTATAAATATTGAGTCACACTTAATCAGAACGAGCTGGCTCACTCTCCATCTACGCTGCGCGTCACTTCGTTTCTTTGATTGTCTGTTTGCATAAATGAGTATATGAAATATACGTATCCAAAATCTATTCTTGTATTTGACTTATTCCGTTATTCTCTAACGTGCATTCCTCAGGAGCTCCACAATAGGACGAAACGGCCGTCCAGTGTTTCCAGGTTTTCCATGGTGGTTTAGCTTCAATTGACTCATGATTCCAACTTTTGAAATATAATACAATTAAGTTAATTGTAATATCTACACAGTTAGAAAACTCTTGAACAGGTTCCTCTGATTAAAATCTTTACTGAATCTTCTTCCCACAACTTCATGATAATTTATCAACAGAAATAAAAATTACATATGAATATATATCTAGTTACAGTTATGTGAGTAATTATTTCTCTAAAAAGTGTGGTATATGTAAGTATTCCATGATTTATATTAAAAGCAAATTACAAATGTTACTGCGGTACTGTTAATAGTAATATTAAGAATTTGTACTTCCAGGTTATTGTTGCTATTCAAAATTGCATTTGGTTGATCTACGTGACAGTAATAAGGGCTCTCCAGCAACATTTATAACTAAAACCATTTGAACTGATTTCTTTAAAGATAATACATATATGTGAATTTGTAGGACAAATATTAAAATTTATACAATACGTCTTAAATGGTTTCATCATTGTCGAACTAATAAAAAATCATCAGTCTTATTAAAAACTGAAACTAATCCAACTGTGTGAATATATTTGTTTATACTCGATTAGTTGAGTAAGGTCAAAATTACTAGTCAATAGAATTCAAATCAATTTCATTTATTACCAATAGTTGCGGGCATAATTTTGTACGATTTCATAGATGCTTGCCAATAAAAATTACAACAATATGGACTATCAATATTTTGGCTTTCAATCTTTCTTAATTTATATCTTTCCAAATCAAACTGTCGACTACTTCCTAGTTTTGAATTGTTCCGAAGCTAAATTACTTTTATACTATATATATATATATATATATATATACATATATATATATATATATATATATATATATATATATATATATATATATATATATATATATATATATATATATATATATATATATATATATATATATATATATATAGTTTGATTTGTCGTCGTTTAGAACTATCCGATATTGTGAACCCACAAAATGGAATCCATTTTTTTCAGAACCGGGGGCGAGCATGACATAATAGACCTGTCACGTTGAAAGACAGTGATTCATTTGTCCGATTCCAGTCAAGAGACCGCCATTTAATATTGTAGGTGGATTATCATACCTCTCAATTAATTGGCTCTATAAGATATGACTTACCATTGAGATTTAGTGAGATCCATCTTAAAGGATATGGTTATTAGTAACTATAGTGATTGTATGACCGTTTTATAGAATATGAAACTCAAATATATTGAGACTGAAGTTAACCTCATTGATGATATAGGACTCTGGCAACACTTCATAGGAAGTCAAGTGAGGTCAGAAAATATAAAGATTCGGATTTCGATTGAATGGATGAGTTTCATACTTACAGACGATAGTGAGTTCGGTCCCTTATGGAATCATATGTATGCCCGAAAAGTTAAAAAATAGAACGAAACAGCTATCTCTCTCTGTCTTACTTTCCAGCTAATGATACTTAATGATGAAAATTCTCATATATTTATTACTTTTTAAATTCAGATAGAGAAGTCCGAAAATCAAAAAGAACCACCAGATGAGTTGATTGATCAAGAAGAACAATTACTGCAACAAAATCCAGAATTAGATAAGACAAGTTCGTCAATACAATATGAAGTTGAAACGTGGGAGTCATGCATGAGAAACTTTCTGAATAAATTTCTACAATCAGTTGAAGAATTACAAACTCTGCATAACAGGATTTATCAATTGAATTGATCAACAAAATACTTAGTTTGTTTAACAGTCGACTAGAAATGTACACATATATTAAAACTCAAACATTTGAATGTAGGTAAATACAATTTCGACATAATAAAATCCATTACATTTTCTACGTAATCGTTTTATTAATAAAAGCTACTACATCTTAGATTCAACTTAACAATGTAAACTTACGTTAATCAATAGACCCTAGTCAGTTTAAGGTCCACATTTATTCTGAATAAGTAACAGTGTTGTTCAAAATCGTCCCTAACAATAACAGACTTTAATTCCAGTCGCTTTTCATTTAAACATAGTCACTAAAGTAACCGTAAATGATACAATAAAGGATTTAACAAACTGTGCAACTAATAGCTCCACAGAGTCAGCACTTAAATGGCCTCTTTAAAATAATCTTGACCTATTCTTTTTCATCAGTAGTATCTTCGTGATATCAGTCATTCTCCGATTATTCGGTTTGAATTAAAATGAGCAACAATTAGCCAATAGGTCAAAGACAAAATCTAGAATTTCGGATAAATGGTAATAAGGCTAATTGTTATTCGCTAAAAATATCCAATGGAGCACTAGTACCAAGAGGTATGCTCTCCAAAGTTACGTGATGCCATGAAGATAATAGCATAATGACAGTAATTAGGAGAAAATCAAGATATATGCATAAACGAACAAAGAGGACCAATGGAACTTATAAACAACCTTAGCCTAAGCAAATATCGAACCAAGGACTGCTGGGTAATAGAACTGATAATCTGCAGATTAAGCTACACGATCTCGCTGCCATCCATATTTCACTGACCGATTCAATTATCTTCAATACAATGAGTTCACATGAATCGCTTATTACGACGCGAAGTAAGAACACCAAGACCGGTGCAACTGAAAATTTATTTATATATATATATATATATATATATATATATATATATAATGAGGTAGCCAGTTAGAGTAACGCCTGACGAAGATCAAATCAAGGGTAACATTTTCATATTTTAAACCACTAAACGATATTAGCTAGACCACTGAAAACCTGGAAGCACTGTACAGTTGTTTCGTTCTAGTATGGGGTTCAGAAGCGTGCATTCACGACCCTTCCACTAGGAACCAACCTCAGAACCTTCGGTTTCGCGCGCATACACTGAACCTCTAGATCACTGAGTTGACATCCAATGGTGTAAATGTCTGCTTTCAATCAATTCGCGATATTGTACGACTGTTTTCCATTACCTGAGGTGAATAACGATATTGTCCCTTTATACTGCTTAACTTAATTTCCCCTAGTCATCTAATAATATTGCGTTAGTTCGTCAACTTTTGTTGCATTGATGTACAGATCAAAAGTATTATTCCTAAAATAATCACATCCATTCTCCGACTAGTTAACTTGAAAAAATGAAGCATACTAAATCCAATTTTTGAAAATTATAAAGAATTTATTATGCAGGCTTATCTAAAAATATTAAAAGAATATGTACAAAGTGTATATCTAATCACATGTTAGTCAGTATTCAGGAAATTTTGGTTTTAATAAAAATGGATTTTTTGTTTCAGAAGATTGGTTAAAATTACTATTTACAAAAACGTTTGACTTAGATTTCACAATATTTTGGTCATCTTTGTTGTCTGTTATTGACATTTTCATATCACAGTCGTTGGTTACACTAGCAAGTAAAGCTGATAGATATGGACGAGGTGATTCTTTTGGAGTGATCACTGTAGATAGTTGATTTTGATTGTATGCCATAAAATAAAAACGAAAAATACATCACTTATTCTAAAGTTATATTATAATAAATAAAAAAAACACGAACGCTATACATACTTATATTGTAGATTACCCAAAAACTTAACTGTAGTTAGATAAGCAAATGAGAATCCTTACACCGAATTTTATGGTCCATTCCAACGTTGGTCAACTGTTGCTTACCTTTAGAGATTGCATTACTTACATTTATTTTTCCATTACTACTATTGCATAAGAAATCGATGTTTGGAACTAATTTGAATGAACCATTTGACTGCGTATAATATTACAACCAGATTATGTGTTTCATGCGACAAATCATACAAATCAGAATTGTAATCAGTTAGATAATAAAGAGCTTTTTGTACCGCACAAAATTATGAAATACTTCTTTGTTTATTCCACATTTTGGATTTATCCAATTATTGTTGACAGAACTACAGACTCTGTTTGCTGCATGCTCTTTTGCAATAATTTTGGAGGCGCATGAGTAGTTTTCGTAGATTATTATGTTTTAGACATCCTTATTAATAAAATGGATTTTCAAATGTTGGACGATTATGTAACTCCATATATTAGTAGATATAACTCAGAAATAAACTTAGCATATGTTGTGCTACCTTTTTTGATTATACAAACAACTTCTTGAGTGTGTTATTCTTCTATTTTTTTAATTACTACCTAATTTTCCTCTTTTCATAATTTCATAGTTTGTGACATATCGCTTAATTATTTGGTTTCATTGTTTTGTAAGTAAATATTTCGGTTGGCAAACTACCATGGCTAGACTAATGATGACTTTTCCAAAATAATGGAGTTTATTTGTATCTCAGGGTGAGAATGCTGGAGATGCTATGTTCTTTGAGTTGGATGGATTAGCTGCAAAACTTTTATTGTCTCCGTAGACAATATCACTAGCACGTACTTCAAAGAAAAATAGGTTAAACTAACTAGTAGCAAATATGATTTTAAATGTTGCCAAAATACTCCAAAGCGCAATATTATTTCGGTGTTCAGGCACCGATTATCACGACGCGCAATGCTAACCGGTGCTAGGGATGATTGGAAGAAAGTTAGGGGCGGCCAAACCAAAAAGTGGCATCAGTGCTTGAAGTCACCAACTTCTGGTCTGAGCCATGTTGGTAGATTCAGACTGCCTGGTTGGGGTCCGCGTGACTATCGTAACCAATGGTTGGAGACTCTTGGTGACATGGCTCAGAATCAATCACAATGGCGTAGGTGTATACACTCTCTGTCTTCCCTTAAACTATGAGACTAAAATTATTTCAGATCTTTCTTTCCATGAACTAATTCTTTCTTCCTGTACTGTCTCCTTATATGCAATCTTTCTTCTATATATTACCACCACTGAATTAACCACTTTTATGAATTTGGTGTTCATCTTGTTGTGCTAATGCGGTATGGCAACTTGGACCGATGCATATATGTGCCAGGTCCCACGTTGTAACTGACTGACTGATTGACTGCTTACAAAAAACTCATCATCGTAAGAAGCGTAACTAAAAAAACACAGAATATAAACTTGGTTGGAAGAGAAATAGCATACACATGAACGATTCAGCATCACCGGGAAATAGGTATTGGACAGGCTGAACACGGCCCAAAAATCGAATTAATGACTCTTGAACTTTACGACGTTGTTCAACTACACGACGGCGTAATGAAGACGGGTCAGAAGCAATCGGTGCTCGTTTAACACGTGTATTTAGGAACGTGTGCGGTTCCGGCAATATAGGAAGTTGTAAATGTGCAGGAGCAGGAGGTGGCAAACAGTATGATAGCTGATCTGAAATACCTTGACCTACACCCGTATTTAACAAGGATGTGGATCCCATCCCACCAAAACGTGGATTTGCCGACCAATTAGGACGCAATGACAAGGGTCGAGGAATAATTGTTGTTCCTCCTGGGCCCAAAACTGCAGCACATACCACACCTTTCTTCGGAGAACTTCCGATGCTGGTAGCTGAACGATATGAAAGAACAGTCATCAATAAAATCGTTGAAAATCAAAATATTTATGTAAGTAAATATTAAAATCGATGAGCATTAGCGATTAACAATTTTCTATTCTGAAGAAAAACAAGTCAAAATTAGATGATAAGGAACAACAGATTTTTTACAAAATCTTTGATTCGGCTGTGATAAAAGCACTTCAATCAATGAACATAAGGTACCTTCAGGCTTTTTCAGTTCAAAATATGATCAGCAAAATCCAAATAAGATACGAAAAATGGGATCAAACGTCAAGACTTAACGATTTTAATTAAGCTAAACTGAGATGTGACGCATTATAAGGCCGTAAGTTCTATCCACATTTGTGGCTATAAACTGCTACACTCTGAATTCCACCAGAAAAAAACGTTATGTAAGTATCAACCTGTAGTTTATAATGGATAATTGAAAACTAAAATACCAATTCAATAGGGAAGATAAATATTTGTTCAACCATTGCTTAAACTAACTAGCCGAATATCACGGTAATTAATAAAAGATAGATCTCAGAAGAAAAAAAAAGAAAATTCGATCATAACCTATAAAATATGAACTGAACCTTGTTATTTTTGATGAAATATTACTGAACAACTGCTTAATATTATTTTTTTATTTTATTTTAACACAGATATCGGTACAAGAAGGTACCAAATACATATGTGCCACACAAATCTCATTGGATATATGTGAGGGCTTTGATACTGTCCGGGTGCCCAAACCGAAGCAGGTGGTTTGCTTAGGGGGCCACACCCGGAGCCTTCGACCTGAAGATCTGATCCACAAGGCAGTGGAGCATCGTAAGGGGATGCAGTCCTATGGTAGCCGGTGACCAAAGATTGGTTCATACGCCATTTGTTCCTTCAGGATACTGGAGCCCAAGTGCACCATTGGTTTGGGATCCGGTTAAAGCGCCGGACATTCGCTTTTCGTCCTCTCATTTTCGTAAACAACACCCCCGCCACGAGAAGGCAGTGAGTAGGACTTCCCTGGCAGGGGTCCTGACCGTTGTTGCTACCTTGACGTGGTGGTCAGGCTTGCCTATCGTGATGAAGCAACTTAGCTATACTGACTGGAACAACCGTTCCTCAAGGTCCTACCATGCCAGACAGGTCGGTTGAAGAGCGGTAAGACTAAAAGCAACAAATCCAAGGTCCGAAGGCGAAGTCGTACTGCTGACTGTACAGAGGTGTGACAGCAGTAAGGTGTTTCCTTCAGACAACCAGCATAACAGCGATGCTGCCTTCCCAATAGGAGGGGAGGGGTTAGAAAAGGTCGACCTAAAAATGCACACCTTGCCTTATCCCACGGATATCCGTCTCCGGCGGTAAGGTCTCAACAAGTACGGAGCTAACACAAAAATTACTCATAAAAAGGTCGTGTGTGGCCGACCTCAAGCAACTGTCCCTTGGGAACTGCGGTCACGCTCTCAGGTCACTATGACCACCTCTAATCCAATTTCCTTTTCAGGTACCTCCAGCAGAACCCTTCCACGGTGTGGGCAACCAGGAAGTGATAACCACCCTCATACCTCTAACAGCATTCAAGACCACTGTATTCATAATCAACCTACCTCTTCAAATCCTATTATTCCTCCTACATCGACTTTCAAATCTAAACTTCCTCTTTTGGCGTCCCCCTCATGTGTCACCACAGCCAACGATTCTTGTGCACAAAACACTGCCCCAGGTCTACTGAAACCTCGCTCCAAACTACACATTGGAGCCTTCAACGTACGCACACTATGCCAAATTGGTCAGCAGGCTTCCTTGGCTAAAACCTTAGAATCTCGTACGATAGATGTATGCTGTGTCTCCGAAACACGCATACAGGATCCTAGCGTGGTCATTCACTTGACCTCACCTCGGCAAAACGGAGAGCCAACGAGATACACCCTCCGTGTATCTGGCGACCCGATGGCTAGTTCTCGTGGACTGGCAAGTGTAGGCAGAGCACTAAGCATGAGGGCGGAACAAGCGTTATTAGAGTGGATCCCCGTTAACAGTCGTCTATGCGCTGTTCGTCTAAACGGCTCCGTAGGAACTCGGAATCATAGGGACACACGTCGTTGCCTTTTCGTCGTTTCTGCCTACGCTCACACTGACTGCAGCTCGGATGAAGTGAGAGATGAATTTTACAGAAAACTCTCTGAACTTCTTCAGAAAGCTAAACGTTCAGACATAGTACTCGTAGCAGGTAACTTTAATGCCCAGGTAGGTAGCTTAAACGAAACAGAAAGACATTTAGGTCGGTATTTTAGTATTCCGGTACAGCAAACAGATAATGGTGATCGTCTGCTGCAACTTTGCTCAGACAATCGTTTATTTTTAGCAAACAAATTTTAAGCATAACGAGAGACATCGTCTAACATGGCGACCCCCTGCACCAAACCAACGATGGACTCAAATAGACCATATTGCCATCAGTCATCGTTGGAGAGGGTCAATAGAAGATTATCGCTCATTCTGGAGTACCTGCTTGGACTCCGACCATGCCCTAATACGAGCACGCATCTGCTTACGCCTCACTGGACGTAAAAAAAGCCATACAAAAGACTCATTAGAACCGAATTGAGTAATGAGAAAACCAAAAGTAGGTTCCAGGAACAACTGAGGTCACACTTAGGTAGTTCAGAAAACGAGGCTGACCCCGATGTTGCTTGGAAAGATATACAAGCAGCTGTGGAAATAGCAGTGACATCTATTAGTGATTTAAACCAAAGGATTACAAAGAACCGACATCAGCCAATATTACCCATCGAGGTAGGCAACGGTCAAGCACACGTAGGACATGCCCCAATCACCTCAATTGATCAATATTCAGTCCAACTAACCGATCTGCCTAGAATCCTACCCTTATCCTCAATATTCTATATTTGATTTTTCGACCATATGAGAACAATGTCTAGGAATACATCTATAGTCAGGTAATTGCAAACTGCACGTATCCTACTTTTATAGGTCATGCTTCACAGGCATAGTAATATACAGAGAACTGCTGTGCAGTGTACTTCCTCTGGTTGGCGGATGGTCATTTCATTTACACAAAGAGGAAACTCCAGGTAACGAAAGCTGAGTGAACTTTCTGACTTCTTGTCAAGACCTCATTAAACATCAACCATCTATCAGAGTTGAAGATACTTCCAAGATAATTGTATGCAGCAAACAGCAGTATATGAAGAAAATTCCCTTACATGGGTGAAGTGATACAATCAACTTTCGCGGAAGAACAGATTATATGATCATATTTTACCTCACAAAGGCCAATAACGTGGATTTTGTGAGGGGTTTGTAACTGTTTTCTTGTTAAGATCGAATTTCGAAGAGTCAGGCTTAAAAAGTCAAAGGGTACATATAAACACTAATGTGAAACGTTGTTGGGAGCTGTAATTAGTTTTAATTGCAATTTTTAAGTCTTGAAAGTACAGTCAGTACTTATCCTCAATATTCTATATTTGATTTTTCGACCATATGAGAACAATGTCTAGGAATACATCTATAGTCAGGTAATTGCAAACTGCACGTATCCTACTTTTATAGGTCATGCTTCACAGGCATAGTAATATACAGAGAACTGCTGTGCAGTGTACTTTCTCTTTGGTTGATGGATGCTCATTTCATCTACACGCCTCAAAACTAGAATTCTTCGCCGCCCTAGAGTCAACTGTCGGAATAAATGAAGAAACTAAACAGGAAATAAGACAAACCATAGTACCGCTAACTCGACGGAAAAACAACAGCACCCAACTGACTTCACAAGAACAGAAAGCACTTAAAGAAACTCAGAACTAGAGAAGATGTCCTCACAGTCCCAGCGGAAAAAAGACGCACTACAGTGATTATGGACAAAGAAGATTATATCAGGAAAGCCGAGGAACTACTTGAGGATAAAAGCGTATACAAACCAATGGGCACATATCCAGCCAAAACGTTAGACAACCGAATCTCAAGGACTTTAGACAAGCTTGTCAAAGCAGGACAAATATTAAAGCAAGATCAATGGAGAATGAAATCCAGCGGACCGGTACTCTCTCGATCCTAAAGTAGACCGAAAATACACATACCAAACATCTCACTACGTTCAAATGTAGCAATCCCCGGAACCCCAACATACAATTTATCAAGAAAAATTTCACAATATTGAAATATTTAGTGGATTCATCCAATTACTCTATCAAATCTACCATACAACTTCTGTATGAGATTAAGGACATTCAAATCAGCAATGACAAACTGATGATATCCTTCGATTTAACAGCCATATTCACCTGAATTGAGCCAAGCTTAGCGAAGAAAACTCTATTCCTGCCTCTCACCGACACAAATCTCCCAAAGTACAAGAAGCTCCAAAGTCAAAGCTTACTAGAACTCATTGATTTATGCTCCACAACATATTTTCAATTCGAATACACCGATGGGATCACTAATATCAGGATTTATCGCAGAAGCAGTAATGCAAAGACTGGAAGCCTCAATCTTACTGGTGATCAAACCAAAAATCTGGATTCGTTGTGTAGAAGACATATTCGTTATCGTCAAAAAGGATGAGCATGGAAACACTTACAATCTGATCAACATCGTTTTCGATGACATCAAATTTACAGTGGAACAGGAGTCAAACAATAAACTACCATTATTGGATGTATTAATCACTAGAACCCAACATAGGACAACTGGAGATTCAAGTTTACCAGAAGCCGACCCACACAGATCAAATTCTCAATTACGGTAGCAACAACCCAAAAGCTCACAAAATCAACTGCGAACAAACTTTGTTCAAGAGGGCGGGGACACATTGCAACACACTTGCAGCGCTGAAAAAAAATGAAGAAAAATATCTAAAGACTATCTTTCAAAAGAACAGCTACCCAACTAACTTCATCAAAAAATACCAACCAAACGCGTAAGCAGAGACAAAATCAAGTACAGGAACCAACAAACAGATCATTCTACCATATGTAAAAGGCATATCAGAAATTATAATCAAACTGTTAAAGCTTTTTGGAATAGGTGTAACACACAAGCCAACAAAATCACTTCAGCCAATCCTATACAAACCAAAGGACGAAATGACAAAAGAAAAACTAAGTATCATCTATAAAACAAAATTTTCCAACTGCGAAAAACACTACATCGGACAAGGCGGATGCCTTCTTTATCTCTTCCTGCACGAACACCAATTAGCAACCAAAAGCCATGATATATCCTCGCCTATATCAATCCAAATGGACAATTGTGGACACACATTCGACTGGGAAAATGTTGAGATCTTGGATAGAGACAATTCTAAAAACACTAGAGAATTTTTAGAAGCTTAGCATTCAGGTCAATTAGCAATGAACAAACAGATTGAGACCGGTCCAATCTATCAACCAATCAGGAAAGTTATGGACAAATATAGGACCAAGAATCAAATCAATGCGAGATACAATCAAAATAAAGAGTTAAAAAATGACAGGTTAAAGCTCAACAATAACCGATCAAGATCGAGGTCTACAGGACAAACTGTGAGCCATATGTGGAGAAATCCAAACACTTCACACCTACCTAAAGCGTGTGCTGATGATATCGTTTAGAATAACGATGAAAGCTCCACGACCAAACCATCCAGTTCAGAGAACAAAACTCCAACTGAGCTACAAATCTCCATCATCTCATGGTAGTGATATTTCAACTTAATACTTGATGTTATATGAACGACCATTTCTTGACTATTTTATGAAATAATTAATATTTTGTATATAATTTTTTCACCGATGAGATTTGTTTATCCTCCAAATGTTCTTGAGAACTCTCTGAGCAAGTCAATCTATTTCGAATTTGAATGACTAAACAGAAAATTTTTTTATGTGGATAGTCTTTAGCTCTAAAATATTTCACTAAGCGCAAAAGACACTTCAGGTTACATAACAGTAATAAAAACATCATAGAGAAGAAATAATTTGGCATTAAGTTTTCCTGCAACATATTTTCTTAATTTTTACTTTTCGTAAGAGAGGAATCAGATATTTTACTAACTTCTTAATAGTTATAAAACTACTCTTTCCAAAAAGAGGGATAAATATACAACTGGACCAAAATATATAGTGAATGGATTAGTAATTACAACACTTGAATCCCTCCACGCTTACTTCGATTTAAGCAGTCAGGTAGTCTCGTTAGAATTTACAAGGACAATTGTCAATAATTGATTATGATACTGCATTCAACCTAAATTACATCAAATATATACTTTAGATATTTCCAGTCAATAATAAAATACCACGTTTATGTGCTACACTTTCGATATCAATGCATACCATGCTTAAAAATATAAGTTTATCAGTAAACTGCTTTTAATACTCACTAGTGATTTTAGACTACGGACACATAAATTTTATTTTTTTTATTTATTTGAACACATAAATATTGGTACAAGAGGGCACCAAATATATATAGACTACAGACAGCTAACGACAAATGATGCCCTCCATAAGTATCTGAAAAAAAGGCTACGCAAAGTGATAAACTTCAAAGGTACGGGGACTGAATTTAAAAGTAGGTGAAAAAAATTGTCAACATACGTTCTTTACATCCTCTGTACATGCGTTTACGGGGAATTTCATTAAGACCTGAGACATCAAATCCCAAATCTATTAACCCAAGTACAATATCGCTCAAAAGAATTGAAGTTCTCCCACTGCTTTCAGCATTCATTAGTGAGGAAACAGCTAAGTCTTCTGTAACTAGAGAAAGTAAATAAGTATGTTGAGAATGACGTCACTATGAAGTAAATTAATAATATACACTATATATATACCTGTTTTGCTAATTTTTTAGACCCAACTACTAACCTTAGTTTTCATCGTAGTAGGACCTGACAATATACCAGCTAAAGCTCTGAAGTCAGATATAAAAGTAACTGCACACATGCTCCCCATCCAATTCGTGGAGATTTCGGAGGAGGAAAAAGTGCCGACGGACTGGAAAGAAGAACACCTCATCACGATACCAAAGAAAGGAGAGCTGAGTAAGTGTGAGAACTATGTAGGCATCACACTATTATCGGTATCAGGAAATTTTTAAAGTGTTGCTGAACCGGATGAACAATTCAGTAGACGCCTAACTTTGAGATTAACAGACCGGATTCCGTAAGGATCGGTCGTGCACAAACTAAATCGCGACACTACGGATCATCGTTGAGCAATCGATTGAACGGAATTCGTCACTATACAACAACTTCGTTGATTATGAGAAAGCATTCGGCAGTGCGAATAGGAAAACTTCACGGAAACTTTTTCGACACTATGGTGTACGTGAGCAGATCAATGTAATACGGAATTCATACGACGGACTACAGTGTAAAGTTGTGCATGGAGGACAGCTGATGTATTCCCAGTGAGAAAAAGAGTCAGACAAGGCTGCTTACTCTCCTCCTTTCTATCTTCTGATGGTCGACTGGATCATGAAAACCTCGACATCTGAGGAAAAGCACGGAATACAATGGACAGCTCGGAATCAATTAGAAGATTTGAACTTCACAGATGACCTGGCCTTTCTATCCGAAACACACGAACAAACGCAAGTCGAAACAAACAGTATAGCAGCTGTCTGCATCAGTAGGTCTCAATATACAGAAGGGAAAAAGTAAGATCCTCAAATACAACACAGAGAACACCAACCCAATCTTACTAGGTGTAGAAACTCTATAAGAGATGGAATCTTTCACGTGGTTGGGTGGCAGCATCATCGATGAACAATGAGGTTTTGATGCAGACGTAAAGGCAAGGAGTGGCAAAGTAAGAGTAGCATTCCTGTAGTTAAACAAGATATGGAACTCAAAACAACTGTCAACCAACATCAAAACAGTCCTACTTTACGGAGCTGGAACATGGAGAACTACCACAATCATAATTAAAAAGGACAAGTATTTATGAAGTTGTCTACGCTAGATACTCAATGTCCGTTGGCCGAAAACCATCAGCATCAGCCTACTATGGGAGAGAACAAACCAGCTTCGATTTCAAGAGAAAATTGGGAAGTGGATAGAACATACATTGCAGAAATCACCAAACTGCATCATGAGGCAAGCACTAACCCAGAACCCTGAAGGGAAAATGAAAAGATGAAGACCAAAGTACACATTGCGTCAAAAATTGGAAGCAGACATCAAAAGGATGAATGTCAACTAGAAAGGATTGCCCAGGACAGAGTTGGATGGAGAATGCTGGTGGTCGGCCTATGCTCCACCACGAAGGGCAACAGGCGTAAGTAAATAAGACATCAAATCTACGTCAGTTATTAGATGAAGTTACATTGTTTTAAAACCTAACATACATGAAACATGTCATCTAAAGAAATAAATATGAGTGGCGAATTCAAAAAATTGTTGGTTAAAAATTTTCATCAACTGCTAGAAACTACACTTACAAGAAAAGAAAAGATTTGAAAGTACTCTCAACGCGGCGTACTCAATAGATGTATATCCAACTGATAAGGCAAGATAACCAATAGCACCTTCAACAACATCCAAAACACCCTGAGGGCATTCTCCGCCTGTCAATAACCGACTAGACATTTCAGAAACTTCTGAAAAAATGTGGATAAAAATGCGTACTTTTAATACAAAAGAAGTTACAGGAAAATTGTAAAGGCGAAAATAACTATAATTTTCACCTGTACCCAGGACAAGGCTGGGTATGGGTACCTTTAATGGACACTACTAGCTAACATCACCCGAAGGGAAGAACTTTGATGACAGGTCACACCTCAAAACGTCACTATAAGCATACTAAACACCTCAAAAACCGATAAAACCATAAAACATATCGACCCATTCAAAGGTTGTCTTTGGATTAAAGAAAAAGATAAGGGGCGTTTGTGTCCTGAGGCTTAATAAAAGATGATAACTGGATCTTACGACCTTTAGAGACTATAGACTGATCTCTTTGTCATTGGTCGAAAGTGCTTTTATCCTATTTCCTATTAACTGGAGTAATCAATGAGAAAATAATCTCAAATGACTAATTACAATTTCCATTAGTCCAACTGGCACTTGTAAAGACCAATAATTTGTAATTCCCAACCTGAAACGCTTTTAGAAGCAGTGTTAGGATCCGGTTGGTTTATTCATCCTCACTTAGCCAATCTACTGAACCTTTATTAGAGCCGGAAGAGTAAGCATAACTCATATGTGGGTAAACCACTGAAAAAAGTTCAATCTGATGTTAAAGCATTAAACGGAAGAATAGTTAAAATACCACCTCACCGAAGAACTAGCTCTCAAGTTTATTAGAAGCATTATAACCATATATACAACTTTGTTAAAACTGGATCATTTGTGATTACGCACCTTAAAAAATAGGCCCACCGTAAACGAATTAGTCAGTAACAACGTGGAACTTCGTACGTACGTACATCAGTTCGAGTTGCCATACCACATTAGCACAGAGATGCAGTTGTCGATTCAAATCCCGTAGTGGTAGAGGTAGTGAAAGAATAAGTAGTGATAGGGAACATTAGGGTTTGATGATGTTATTTAAGGAGTATAATCCAGTGGAATCGAGTTAGAAAGAAAATAAAGGACATGAAGAATTCAGAAGATTAGAGTTTGAAAGAACACAGAGAGTGGATGCACCTGCGCCATCGCAAACGATTTTCAGCCATGTCATTCAACGTCTCTAACCATCGGTTGCTATCATCTCGCGATCCCTAACCAAGTAGTCTACATCTACCAACATGGCTCAGTCCACTTGTCAGTGACTTCATGGATTTGTGCCATGTTTTGGTCTGGCCGCCCCTAGCTTTCTTCCAATCTACTCCTACACCAGAAAACATCACACATCGGGGCAGTCGGTGGTCTGGCATGCGTAACACATGTCCCAGCCATCTCAACTGATGAAGTTTCACTACTTCATCAATTGATTTGCCATCCTTACCTAGTACACGGTTGTTAACAACTGAGTTACTTACTCGGTGGTCCCAGGATATACGAGCAATGTTTCGAAGACATCTATGATCAAATACTAGTAGCTTACGAATATCCTCTACTCTTGCCGGCCATGTTTCACTGCCATAAAGTAGGACGGAACGAAGTGCTGCGCAGTAAACACGTTCTTTGGTTGATAGACGGATATCTCGCCTACGCCACAAATGACGCAAGTTGGCAAAAGCTAGTCGAGCCTTCTGTATCCGTACTGAGATTTCGTCACACACCAGACCACAAGGGCTGATGAAACTTTCAAGATAAGTGAAGCGGTCGACACGCTCAATTACTTCACTCCCTATCACTAGTTCGGGTGTCGACGCAACCCGATTTTAAAGCAACATCATGCGTTTCGAGGGAGAAAATCACATTCCGAACATGTTTGGATTGTTGCTTAGAGTGGTCAGCAGACTCTGCATTTTGTCAGCGTCTTCACTAAATAGAACTATGTCAACAAGTGGATCTCCCGGTAGAAGTTCAACTCCTAGAAATTTAAATGAGGAAAGTGTCATCTCTAAAAGGACGTCAACAACAAAGTTAAACAAGATTGGAGAGAGTGGACAGCCCTGACGAACACCACTTAAGGTAATCAGTTCTGATGACAGTTCGCCATAAGCTCTCACTCGACCAGTTGTGTTCGAGTAGAGAGCCTTTATAAGGTTAATGTACTTCTTTGGTACTCCTTTCAGTGACAAACACTGCCATAGAACCTCACGATCAACAGAGTCAAATGCCGCCTTAAGGTCGAGAAATACTACGATTGTGGGGCGTCTGAATGTGTGTCTATGTTCTAGGACCTAACGTAGTGTGAATATCTGATCTATACAACCACGTCAAGGTCGAAAAACAGCCTGGTTTTCTCTAGTCTGCTCTTCACGAGCTTTGGTTAGACGTCCAAGTATTATTGAAGCTAATATTTTAGACACTATATTAGTCAAACTAATTCCTCTGTGATCGTCACAGGAGGACTTTTGTCCTTTCTTATAGACTGGAACAATCAGTGATTGAGACCAGTCAGATGGGATTACATCCAGTTCCCAGATTCTACCTAAGACCTCAGTCAATCTCGCTGCTAATACTGGACCGCCATCCTTAAAAACCCCAGGGGTAAACCTGTCAGGGCCTGCTGCTCTCCCACGCTTCAGATTTCCTATAGCTTTTTCAACTGCGTAAAGAGTCGGAGGACTTACAATGACTTGCCATTCAGGTAGACAGGAGATCGTGGGAAACCGAGGTGTGGCTGGAGGCCAGTTGAATTGATCCCTAAAGTGTTCTGCCCATCGATCTAATCTCCTGGATTAAGAATGAACAATATGTGAAAAGATTATGTCAGCAAGTCCCGACCGTAGCTGCTACCTTGACGTGGTGGTCGGGCTTGCCTATCGTGATGATCCAACAGAGTTATATTGGCTGGAACACAGGTTGTTAACAACCGTGTACTAGGTAAGGATGGCAAATCAATTGATGAAGTAGTGAAACTTCATCAGTTGAGATGGCTGGGACATGTGTTACGCATGCCAGACCACCGACTGCCCCGATGTGCGATGTTTTCTGGTGTAGGAGTAGATTGGAAGAAAGCTAGGGGCGGCCAGACCAAAACATGGCACAAATCCATGAAGTCACTGACAAGTGGACTGAGCCATGTTGGTAGATGTAGACTACTTGGTTAGGGATCGCGAGATGATAGCAACCGATGGTTAGAGACGTTGAATGACATGGCTGAAAATCGTTTGCGATGGCGCAGGTGCATCCACTCTCTGTGTTCTTTCAAACTCTAATCTTCTGAATTCTTCATGTCCTTTATTTTCTTTCTAACTCGATTCCACTGGATTATACTCCTTAAATAACATCATCAAACCCTAATGTTCCCTATCACTACTTATTCTTTCACTACCTCTACCACTACGGGATTTGAATCGACAACTGCATCTCTGTGCTAATGTGGTATGGCAACTCGAACTGATGTACGTACGTACGAAGTTCCACGTTGTTACTGACTGAATGACTTGATAGTTAACTTTAGACTGACTGAATATACTAATTGAATAGTCTCTTTATAAACACGAGGCAACGGGTATAATTTATAGGGCGATTCACAGCAGTCGAAAAGAACGGAAAGATGCACAAATGTATTTACTATGTTATCAACAAGTAGTCGTGATTAAGGTTATTAATACACCATTCTCTATATAAATTTTCGATCCAAATCTCCATTAAACCACATAAATTAGCTGAATACGTATATTCTTCTTAGAAAAAATTCTGTCGAGCCCATAAGGATAAAAATACCCTACGATTTTACAGTCAGCACTCCGACACTTATTTATTTGAACACATAAATATTGGTACAAAGGGACGCCGAATACACATGCGCCACACAAGTCACTTGAGTTGCGAGTTGACTGAGATACTGCCCGGGTACCCAGACCGAAGCAGGTGATTTTCTTAGGGGGTCACACCCGGAGCTCTTAACCTGAAGGTCTGATCCACAAGGCAGTGAAGCAACTTCAGAAAATGCAGTCCCATGGTAGCCGGTGACCAATAATTGGTTTACACACCATTTGTTCCCTCAAGAACCTAGAGCCCGTATGCATCATTGGTTTGGAATCAGGGTTTTCCAACTCCCCCAGGTATTTATTTATTTATTTATTTGAACACATAAATATTGGTACAAGGGGGGCACCAAATATATATGCGCCACACAAAACAATGATAATTTGAAGAGAAGGAGAAAAGAGAAAAAAAAGAAAAAAAAAGTAATGGACGTGGGGAATTATAAAAAAAAAAGGAAGAGAGAGAGAACAATGGTGGGGGAAACGGAAAGGTACAGTCAGAAGAAATCTTTCAGTTAAGGAAGATACAAACACTTTTTATGAAGAAAGTAAAAGAAGGTTACAGCAGGATCGCCACTGGCTTCTATTCTGAGCCATATCTAATAACGTCTCTAGCCACTGCGTTACACCGTCTTTCGGACCCCAACCAGGGAGTCGTGAAGGACCAACAGAAGCTAGCCCTTTGCAGCTTTCTTTCATACCACGACACCATGTCATACACTGACCACCTCTCCGCTTTTACCAACCAGTCCCAGAGTCGGCAAATAATGCACGACGTGGAATTCTCTGGGACGACATTCGTAAAACATGTCCAAGCCACTGAAGTCGGTGTTTCAAGATGGTGACACCAATTTCATTATCGTCTCTGTGGCCGAACCTCTGCATTACTGACATGGTGTTGCCACTGGATGCCAGCAATCCTTCGGAGACAGCGATGATCGAACACAGAGAGTCGTCTAACATCCTCAACTCGGAGAGGCCAGGTTTCACAAGCATAGAGCAAAACTGCTCTCACCGTCGCGTTGTAGATCCGACCTTTTACAGCCAGACTAACATCACGAAGGCGCCAAAGATGGTCCAGATCGGCATAAGCCGCTCTGGCTTTCACTATACGTGCATTGATCTCATCACTCACACCACCACCAGCACTTATGCAGCTACCTAGATACACGAACTTCTCGACTACTTCTATCTGCTCACCATCCAGAGTGAGTACAAGATTAGAATCCTGCCAGTCTTGTAGAAGTACTTTGCACTTCGAAGGTGCAAAGCACATACCATACCTACGGATACTGATTGCCAACTGATTAAGTGCGGATTGCATGGCTTGGGCATTCTCGCACAGTAAGACAATATCATCCGCATACTCAAGGTCGAGAAGTCTTTCTCCAGGCAACAGATCCACACCACCATTACTTACATCCGTCAGAGCTGTTTCCAGAATGTCATCGATGGCAAAGTTGAAGAGGAATGGTGAGATTGGGCAACCCTGCCTAACCCCACTGCTCGAATGGAACAATTGAGAAAGGTGGTTGTATGCCCTCACTCTGCCTGAGGTGTTTGTGTATAGGGCTTTTAGGATGTTAATAAACTTCTCAGGCACACCCTTCTTCAATAGACAATCCCAGAGAACAGTTCTGTCCAACGAATCGAAGGCAGCCCTGATATCAAGAAACACTACGATTGTTGGCCTTTGATAAGTATGGCGGTGTTCTAACACTTGGCGGAGGGTGAAGATATGATCAATACATCCTCGACCAGAACGAAACCCAGCCTGCTCCTCGCGAGTCAATCTTTCTCGGGTTCTGAACAACCTACGAAGTATGACGGAAGCCAATAGCTTGGACGCAATCGGAAGTAGACTTATCCCCCGATAGTTGTTACAGGAACAACGTGAACCCTTTTTAAAGATAGGGACAACTATCGACTCATTCCATGACGTTGGTACACTCTCTAGTTCCCAGATCTTTGTAAACAACGTCGTTAGTCCCTTAGTCAAAAAGTCACCACCATCTTTAAAAAGAGCCGGAGGTAAGTCGTCTGGGCCCGGTGATTTGTAACGTTTCAAGAGTTGGAGTTCCTTGCGGACTTCCGCCTCATTTGGTGGATCAGTCGTCACCGGCCATGGAGGGCATGACAGTCTGACCGATGTTGCCGGAGCAGCAGGCCAGTTGAACTGCCCTTCAAAGAATTCTGCCCATCGTCCAAGACGTCGATGGATGTTAGTGACTGGCGTTCCGTCATCCTCGCAGATTGTTTCGCTCACACCAGACTTCTTGCTGCCAGTGGCTCGGATGAGTTGGAAGAGCTTCCGGTAATTACCAGATGCAGCTGCTGCTTCCAACTCACTGGCACGCTCCGACCACCAGGCTTCTCGGTCCTTACGCAAGCTTTGCCCGATTTCATTACGTAACATCCTTCGTCTGTGGTCAAACTCACGGTCACCCGGAGTAGACCGACGGGCTTCAATCAGTTGTAAGGAACCAGAAGAAACCCAGTGCTTGTAAGCGGGACGTTTCGCAAACCCACAACAGACTGTACCCGCCATTTTCATGGCGTCATGCAATTGGAACCAATGCTCATCTATACTTTTCGGTGGAATGGTAGTTAGCCTAGAAGCTAGCTCGGTTCGGTACATACTAGCAACAGAAGTTGCAGCCAGCTTGCTAACATCAATCCTTTGGTGGCGGTCACTTCGTTGGCCACTGAAAAGTAAGGTAAGATTGGCGCAGACCAGAGCATGATCAGATTCCAGATAGGTACTCTAAAAGGAGCGGCAGTCTTGTACACAACCGCGCCAGCGGTAGCTGATCGCGATGTGATCAATCTGAGTCCAGGCTTGAGATGCAGAAGGGGGACGCCAGGTGGCACATCGGCGATGACTGTGCCGAAAGTTAGTGCTAGCCAGAAACAGGTTGTGGTCTGTGCATAGTTGCAGTAGACGTTCCCCGTTATCTGTCCTGCGACCAACGAGTCCCCATCGGCCACCTAAACGACTCTCTTTTGTGCCTAGACGCCCGACCTGAGCATTCAAGTCTCCAGCTAGTACTACAATATCTGTCGAACGCACTTTCTGGAGAAGAACAGTTAGCTGATGGTAGAACTCGTCCTTGATTGCATCCGGGCTGCAATCTGTCGGGGCATAGGCGGAGATGACGAAAAGACATCGTTTCTCACGCCGATTTCTTCTCACTTTGATGGAACTTTCTAATCTAACAGCACATAACCGACTGTTAATGGGGATCCAGTCGACTAGTGCTGCCTCAGCTCTTGCGCTTAGTGCGACACCAACGCCAGCAAGACCAGACGAAGATGCCACAGGGTCCCCGGATAAACGCACATAAAACAAGCTTTTTGAAGCGACAGATGGAGAGCGAACTTGTAGTACTTCACCAGAGTCTTGAATACGGGTCTCGGATAGACAACACACATCAATATTAAGACTTTCCAAAGACATAGCCAGCCCTATCTGTTGTCCGACCTGCATAAGTGTGCGAACGTTGAAGGCAGCCAGTTTGAATGGTGCACGTGGTTTCAGAAAAACTGCTTCAGTACTCATATTCGGTAGTAACATACAATTTTCAACCAGGCAGTGACTCGAGAACGTTTAGATAAAGCTGAATTTTCACCATAGGTGAGCTGTTGTCTGAGTCGAAACGGATACAAAAAGTAGAAATGGGAGATAGTGAATAAATGACGTAGTAAATAATAATAATAATAATAATAATAATAATAATAATAATAATAATAATACCAGTCATTTCAATGTTAGTCGGAGAGAAACGAATATTTTTCATCATAGTTTTAGTGTGTGGGCTGAGATACTGCCCGGGCGCCCAGACCGAAGCAGGTGGTTTTCTTAGGGGGCCACACCCCGAGCCTTTGACCTAAAGGTCTAGTCCACAAGGCAGTGGAGCATCGTGAGGAGATGCAGTCCCATGGAAGCCGGTGACCAAAAGTTGGTTCATACGCCATTTGTTCCCGCAGGATACTGGAGCCCATGTGCACCATAGAATTGGGATCCGGTTATAGCGCCGGACGTTCGCTTTTCGTCCTCTCATTTTCGTAAACAACACCCCCGCCACGAGAAGGCAGTGAGTAGGACTTCCCTGGCAGAGGCTGTATACGCGTGGCCGTGTGAGAGTATTTCGAGAGGGAGGGCGAACCCTCCCCGCTCTCGGCCATACCAGGGCATTTGGGGGCAGTCCCCCAAGTGGACTCTCCATACCCATAAACCTGGCTAAAGCGCCGGACATTCGCTTTTTGTCCTCTTAATTTCATAAACAACACCCTTGCCGCGAGGAGGCTGTGAGTAGGACTTCCCTAACAGTGGCTGTATACGCATAGTTATCTGAAAGCATTTCGAAAGGGAGAGCTAACTCTCCTCACCATCGGTCGTACCAGGGTATTTAGGGGCCCCTGACAGGCACAGTATACATGGCTGTGGTCTTAAAGCACATTTACATGTGTAAAACTTTGTAATGTTTAAGTTTTTGCGGCTTCCTGAGCGTGCTTCGCATGTGGACAAAATATTATACTGCATACGTTCACCTTAGGAACAGAAAGGATACAAATGTATTCCAAGAGACTGTCTTGACTTATGATTTAATGCGAAAACATTGTCACAATAATTAATACGAACCATACGAACATTTTAAGAGTGAAAAAAAATATTAATATCTTAAAATGTCGGAAATACCCTTGTTTATGATACCAAGTAGTTTAAAATGACAAATCATGGTCGGAAATCAAACAAATTCTCCAATTAATGCAACAAAGAAATCAAACGTGACACATCTTGGCAATTCCAAGATACAAACTTAATTTGAAACCTCATCCAAATCTATATCCCAAATAAACATGATCATGTGAAAAACCATGAGAAAATGAATAGTAATAAACTCCACTCTCACAACTGTAATCCTGCAACAGGAAACCAAGTGAGATGGGGCGAGAATTTTTGTTTTCACTGTCGTAACCCATGATATAAGAAGCATTATGTTACTTGTCGTTTTTGCTGATTTATATGAAATATTTAAAGCTTTCTACCACAGTATACAAAACCATAATGAGAACTAAGCTTGAAAACTGCGTTCAGGCTGCAAGCTCTTGTTTAAAAGGTGACCCGGATATCCTAGAAGAAGTACAGAGGGTAGCTACCCGCGCAATTCCAGAACTCCGAGGTTTACCATACAAAGAGCGGTCTGAAAAGCTGGACCTCTTTACTCTGTCTTAAGGGGAGATCTAATTTTGATGTACAGGATATTGAGAAATGATTTTGGACCTAATTTATTCTTTCTTTTTCTTCCCATTATATCGGGGCATCTCAGAGAACATAGCAGGAGAGTAGAAAAACCAAGAACGAACAAAATACCCGTGGCATACAGGTTTTCACGCCAAGTCATTAATATTTGAAACCTGTTACCCGAGGCAGTGATGTCGGCTCCTTTAATTGACGCATTCAAGAGAAGACTGGACACTCATAGAAGCATACTAAAAAAGGAATAACATAGGCTGTAGGCCTTCTGTCCGTACTAAAGAAATACTAAACAAATACAGATACTACTTGATAATGTCATTGTGCCGAGTGTACGCAGTCAGTTAAAACATAGTGGACATACTTCCAAGTAATTCTACAATAGGAGTTAAGTCCTATATTTAGGCGAAAATTAGACAATTCGGCGTATATTTAGGCAATATTTCGTCTAATTTAAATGAGACCATTCAGCGACATTTGAGAGACAGAGAAAATAGATGGAAAATCCGCATTGTTTCCCCCAACATGGCAAAAAGCAGACATTTTGGCACGCTTCACCATTGTTTGCTCTTATTTCCCTTTATTGGTTGTTTGGGTTATCTCAAAATATTTACAATTCAGTGACTAAATAAACTTAAACATAACCTTAATTACTGGCAGAGACACGCTTAGATGACTCAAGAACGCGGAATTTATTTCCAGCTGTTAATACTGCATAAACGTAAACATGACCATTTCGGTTTGTGTTTCATACAACGTTGACTTCGAAACCGCTCGAAACTGGAAAACTGGAAATGCCGCCTCGGTCTTTTACTTTCATCTCCAGTATCTAATATCATTGTAGATCTGTACTCTTCACAGAATTCCATGAGGATGAATTCCCAATCACACTTTACCCTCAATCGCCAGAAAAGTCATTATCTGGGTTTTCATCCCACCAACTAAGATTTCTAGTTCTGTTCAAAGACACCCAAACGGTATAGCTGAGACATATAAAGTTTGTGTCTACTGGATTATTTTTCGCGTAATAATGAGATTGTAGCGGTAAGTAAATCCTCAAAATAAATAGCTCTGTAAGTTTGTGACATTGGATGCTGGCCACATTAGTTTCAATGGACTCATCTAGCTGAAGGCGCTTGGTCATGCATCCACACCAGATCACGTGTGGGAACGCCGTGCTCAACATATGTCACAACCGCTAGCCAGATTAAATCAGCCGACCCTCGATATATTGATAGCTCATCAAATATATCTTCAGACCTCCTTGCTTCTGTCTTTTGATTTCACTTTGTGGGTACGCTTCATATTAGAAGGTGTTACTGGTCAAGGCGTTGTCAGGCTCCAAATAACTGTGGCATCTTCAAGGTCAATCAAACGTAGATTGGGTGCTCCCGTAACCTTTTGCCTCCTAGCTTAAAAATTATTCCCGATCACTTAACGTTAAGGAGAAATCCGAATTAGTTCTTCCATTAATTTAGCAACAATGATAGTGGGGTTAACTGGTTGACGGTTCTGTAAGATGAACCAACTATTCACCTGGGACTTCTGACAACTTTGGTGCAATCTAAACAGCATTCTTTGATCTACCAATTATGCCAGCTATGGTCCCTATAAACCATGGACAAATTTCGTAAAAACCTGTAAATTGGTATGATTTGAATTTGAATAGTTTCGAAACAACTTCATTTCTGGTAAAGTCCTAAACCTTTAAGTGATTTTTATCGTTTTCGATGAAAACACTCCCGGAATACTTGGATAATGAATAGTTTCGTTCACTTTGTCATCATCTCAAGCTAAACTATGTAGTACTATGGCTTCCAACAACGTTGTTTGTCTAGCTAAACCTGTCCTTACATTCAGAGATCGATATCCGGAAGCTAAACGATTAATAATAAATAGTCAATACCAGTCACAACGAGCCCAGATGGATTACTGAATTTTATGCAACTAGATTATGAATCTGTTGATCCTGCCTTGTACTTGTTACTATTCAATTCCCTTAATATCTAAATAGATCTTTCGCGTGGTAACATTCTACTTGTTTTCTAAGTGTGCTATAGAAGCAGAAAATTCCACTGTGAGGTTGAACGAACCCGGACTAGAATGTTTTTGGAATATGTGGCTTCTTGATATGGTTCTGTAAGTTGCGCAGTTTACTAAAGTCACCTTATAGATTAGGACTATTCATTGAAAGGTAGAGCTAAGCTTCATAATATCCATACTACCATAAAGTCAACAAAACTACTTGGGGCAGAGGTCATAAGACTCTAAGAATTTCCCACTGGCGTATTATTTTGGGATTAGTGTCCTCCAATTCTTACGTGTCGCTCACAATAATACTGTAGGCAGTTAAGTTTTTTACTCCTAACTTTCCAATAACAGTCGAATTCGGCATAAAGGGACAATAACACCGTAGTTAACTTCACCCACCACTTGTCTACCATCATGTGAGTGTTTGTTCTTTATATGCTTTGAAAGAAGAAGGATTCTAAACGTGTTGTTTGTTATACTCTGACCTCACTATATGTTAGCTAATTTCTACCACCTGACATCTACTTGAAATGAATGAGTTCTTGTCTCTCATTGAACGATGTTCTGTTGTTAATGGTCTTATAGTGGTACTGAATTTCAACCACATGATCTTTGAAAACGAACTTATAATTACCGAAATGATTTACATTTAACATGTAACAATTAGAGAAGTCGAAAATGGTGAGCACGGGAAGGATAGATAGATCACCTTTTCGGATGTGATCATCCTGTGTAACTCATACTTTTCCGCATCAAGTATATTATTATATCCTCAAATGAAATGTGTTCTTCAGAAGTAATAAACGTCATATCGCTGTTTGTCACAGCATGACGAATACGTATAGACAATGATGTGACTTCTGCGTAAGATTTTACAGACTAGATAGTCACATCAAAACAAATCTACAATATTGGAATAAAGTCTATTATTACAGTAACAAAGATAAGTATACTTATATCGAGCGGGATCATAAATCTATGATCTCACATTTAATCCTTCTAAGTTTCAAACTGTTAATTTTAGCCTGAGACATGAACATCATCCCAAAACCTTCTTGAAATCCTGTAAACTCTAAACTGCCCGAGATCCTGTGGGGAAACCGTGTCAAAGGTCACTTATTTTAGTGAAAACTGTCCCCTGATCTCTCGTGTTTTATCGATATCAAATAGAATTTTCCGTTTAACTTGATGAAAAATTATACAGTATATATATATATATATATATATATATAGGACATACCATTAGGCTAAGATTCAATATTTAATTATGTGATTTGTAGATTCTCATATATTACCCGTTACTATTATTATAAACGCAAAGTTTTGCTACAAGAATAATAGTTCCAATCCAATATTGTGGGTTTATTCCAATGTAACGAACTAATCTATAGGATCTAATGTCGATGTCAAATTATTGTGTACGCTGACTGGTCATATTGTGACAGGTAGCGACTTCTGAAGATTAAGTTCGGGATTAGGATAGAATGATATGGTAAATATTATATTATATTATAACTCCGCCTGGAGCCCCTTTCCGGGGGCTACTGCCGGTCCCAAGCCCGGATAAAGGAGGAGGGTTGGGCATGGGGTTAGCGACCCCATCCCGTAGAAAACTAACTCGCTAAACAAACGCTAACCAGAAAGAATTATTCAAACCATTTAAACTCTGCCCTGGGAGTCAGAAGGTCTTCGTTTAGAAGAATTATGACGCCTCACGATGAAAGCCGAGTTTCTTCGGAAGTCACGAGGCCGATGCCCCTTCTGACAACCAGAGCAACCATTTATTTAGGTACATGGAATGCTCGCACAATGTGGGAGACCTGGAGAGTTTTCCAAATTGCTGCAGAAATGAGGAGATACAATTTAGAGGTGCTTGGGATCAGTGAAACACATTGGACGCAAGTTGGACAATAACGACTAGCTTCAGGGGAGCTGTTGTTATACTCCGGCCACGATGAAGAAAATGCTCCACATACACAAGGAGTTGCATCGATGCTTTCCAAAAAAGCACAAAATGCACTTCTAGGATGGGAATCTCATGGGCCAAGGATCATCAAAGCCTGCCTCAAAACAAAGAAGGAGGGCATTACAATGAACGTCATCCAATGCTACGCGCCTACCAACGACTACAATGAAGACGCTAAAGATCAATTCTACGATAGGCTGCAGTCAATCGTCGAGAAGTGCCCAACAAAGGACCTGACTATTCTGATGGGAGATTTAAATGTCAAGGTTGGAACTGACAACACCGGATATGAAGAGATCATGGGACGACACGGACTCGGGGAAAGGAACGAAAATGGTGAGAGATTTGCAAATCTATGTGCCTTCAATAAACTGGTCATAGGCGGGACTATATTCCCACATAAACGCATACACAAAACCACATGGACTTCACCGGATCACACCACACAGAACCAAATCGACCATATCTGCATCAACAAAAAGTTCAGGAGGACGATGGAGGACGTGAGAACAAAGAGAGGAGCTGATGTAGCATCAGATCATCACTTGCTGGTCGCCAAGATGAAATTGAAACTCAAGAGGCACTGGACAACGGGGAGGACAATATCACAAAAATTTAATACTGCTCTTCTTCGGGATACTGACAAACTCAATAAATTCAAGATAACCCTCAGCAATAAGTTCCAAGCCTTTCATGATCTACTCAATGGAGAGGGAACTACTATGGAGAGCAACTGGTAAAAGATAAAAGAAGCAATCACTTCAACATATCATGAGGTTCTGGGCCAAAAGAAGCACCATCACAAGGATTGGATCACGGTCGATACACTGGATAAGATTCAAGAAAGGAGGAACAAGAAAGCAGCAATCAATACCAGTCGAACAAGAGCAAAGAAAGCTAAGGCACAAGCTGAATACACAGAAGTAAACAAGCGAGTGAAAAGGAGCATCAGAACTGACAAACGTAAATATGTGGAGGATTTGGCATTGACGGCGGAAAAGGCTGCCAGAGAAGGAAACATGAGACAACTGTATGAAACAACAAAGAAACTCTCTGGAAACGATCGTAAACCAGAACGACCAGTGAAAAGCAAGGAAGGCAAGATAATCACCAACATTGAAGAACAACGAAACAGATGGGTAGAACACTTCAAAGAACTCTTGAATCGACCAGCCCCACTGAACCCACCCAACATCGAAGCACCACTCACGGACCTCCCAATTGATGTTGGCGCACCAACAATTGAAGAGATCAGCATGGCTATCAGACAAATCAAGAGTAGCAAAGCAGCAGGACTAGACAGCATTCCAGCAAGGCACTGAAAGCAGACGTAGCGGCAACTGCAAGGATACTCCACATTCTCTTCAGAAAGATCTGGGATGAGGAACAGGTACCAAAAGACTGGAAAGAAGGACTTCTAGTCAAAATACCAAAGAAAGGCGATCTCAGCAACTGTGACAACTACAGGGGAATCACTCTTCTTTCAATACCAGGAAAAGTCTTCAACAGGGTATTGTTAAACAGGATGAAGGACTCCGTAGACGCCCAACTTCGAGACCAACAGGCAGGATTCCGTAAGGATAGATCGTGCACAGACCAAATCGCAACTCTACGGATCATTGTGGAACAATCAATTGAATGGAATTCATCACTCTATATCAACTTCATCGACTACGAAAAAGCGTTTGATAGCGTGGACAGAACAACCCTATGGAAGCTTCTTCGACACTACGGCGTGCCTGAGAAGATAGTCAATATCATACGGAATTCCTATGATGGA